GTGTTACAACAGTAGTTGGGTTACTCATGCGGAAAGTCATCTTGGCTTTGTTAAGATCAGAAGTGAGGATACTTGCTTTAAGTGTTTACCAAAGAGAGATCCAGGCAGCTTGTTTTTGACTATCTTTAGTAGCTCTAATACAATCGGCAGCAGCCAGTGTTAGAGCTGATGGCTGGGTTTTAATGGGAGTGGTTTTGCAAAGTGCATGCATGCATGGGACGTTGGGGTGTTATAGACAGTCTGCCGAGGAGCTGTGAGCCTGTGATCATGCTCTGATCATGTAACTCAGCTTGGGAAATGGGAAATTGATTTTTTTTCCTGTAGTAAATCTGTGTGCTTCATAATCCAGTGCCAAAGCAGTGGAAAAACTCGTTCTTCAGGGCTATTTATAGGTTTTTTCTTTTCTCCATTGACACTTCAGAACATTTCAATTAAAGGAAGAGCAGTCACATTGATGGAGAGCCAATGTCATTGGTGGGAGAACAAATCACTGGGGTTTTTTTCATTCTTTCTTTTTATTTTTAATTTTATACCATGCATCCAGTCTTGAACTGATTTTTAAAACCATTTATTGTCCATTAAGCATCAATGACCATTGTCCATTGATGCAGTCAATAACACATCACAAGGGTCAAGAACCATGTATGTCTCCCACTGACTATAAATGTAGCAGTAAAACCTAGACACAAAATAATTTGCAGTACTCAATATTTCCTGCTTCGGCAAGATTTACCCGGAAGAGCAAACAGGATGGAGCTGTTTGTGCATTGGTTTAGACCTCACGCTGCTGTCTTCTTTCAGCCGAGCCATGCCCAGGCTTTCTTAGCATACAGACGATATGCACTGTTGTGAACAAGTATGCTGACAGCCACACTTTTCTTCACACCCACCCAGGCATAACAGAAATGTTTACAAAAGCAGGATTGCTCTCAGTAATCACTCCAAAATTTTCAAGTGCAAATGCCAGCTCAAAGTGGCCCTCTGCCTCCTTTGCTGTTGCTGAATGCTCTGGTAGCCCTTGCCCGTGGTTGCCGTACAGGAAGATTGAGGGCTTTCTGCCAAGGTGTTTGCTGTATTTTTATATTAGTGTTTTCCCTTGTTTTGGAGGGATTCCTTGAGGGAGGAATCCACATTCCTTGTGCCTTTGAGCTCTGGTTTCTCACCTGTTCCGGGCTTTTCACAATTGCGAAGAGGTGCAGTGCCTGCAGAGTACATGGTACTTCGAATGACAGCACAAAGAACCTGTCTGCCCGCAGGCAGACAACGCGTGAGCCTGCCAGCCTAAGTGAACAGGGAAGCTGGTCTCCGGTGTAGGAAGCCATGGAAAACCTCTCACAAATATGCTTGTAGCTTCTTCCCTGCTGGTACCTGCTAAATAGTCACTCCACCCCTTCCGCGTCCGAGCAAGGAGGAGGTGACCCTCCTCAGGACATGGTTGTGTTTCCTTCAGAAGCACCTGTGTGGATCTGCCCTGGAAGTGATGTTCTGGCAGCTGGCACCTCCCCATGGTGCTCCCCAGCACTCTCTTTCCCCCCCAGGAGGTTTGGTCTGGTTTGGCGGCGTGTGGGACCAAAAGAGACGGGCTAGTTGGGTCTCAGCGGCCAAAGTCTCTGCCTGAGCAGCGTTGCAAGGAACATCTACTGGGGGGACCAGAGGCTGCCACGTGAGACCCAGCTGCATGTCTGCCTTCAAGGACTACACAGGGAAGCTTTGGACTCTGCCTCACAGCATTTTAATCTGGAGATTGGGCAACACCACTGAGCAGTGTCATTTACCCTGTGGGCTAGCAGATAACCTTTGACTTGGCAAGGCGAGGGCATTTCACTACTCTCTCCTCTCATGTCCCTGCAAACCTTGGCTACTATCAGTCAGCAGAGGCTGGTTTTAGGGCATTTACTCTAGGATCTGGTGAAACTTGTATCTTCCCTTTCCAGTTTCCTAACAGGCCAAAGGTAACTCTTGAAGCCAATCAGCCCCAAGGCAAAGTTCCCCACCCTGCCTTGACCCTGACCTCAGCCATGCCTTGATGTGGAGGAATTGCAGTAACCCTTCAGCGTGGGGTTTTGTGACCTTCTCCTCAGTGACTGAGCTCTGATGCATCATCTGATGTTCAATTTGGTTGAGGATTTTCCTCTTTGTTATTTCCTATTCCCTGAAAAGACATGATCTCCTTTGCCTGGAACTAAGTTGCTTGCACTCTTCTGTCAGAGAGGCTGAATTTTGCACTTGAGTATCTGGATGAAAAGTCTCCAGCCAAGACATAAGTACCCCATTTTGTGAGTGAGTGCCCACACCTTAAAGAAATGACCAACTAAATATGCTGTATATCATTATTGTCCTTAAATTTAGGTAGAAATTACATCAAATGGAGGTTGGATGAGTTACCCAAGTCCAACAGGAGATCTGCTTTGAGGCCAGAAGCAGTAAAGTCACAGCACATTGTCTTCACTAACAGTCCATCCTCTTTTTTCTCTTTGTCTAAAATACTTCGCAGTTTAAAATCTCACGGTATTGTACTCATGGAAAGCTGAAATCAAATATATATATCACAGAATCACAGAATGGTAGGAGTTGGAAGGGACCTCTGGAGATCATCTGGTCCAGCTCCTCTGCCAAAGCAGGTTAGCCTCGAGCAGGTCACACAGGATCAGGTCCAGGCAAGTTTTGAATATCTCCAGAGAAGGAGACTCCACAACCTCCCTGGGCAGCCTATTCCAGTGCTCTGCCACCCTCAGAGTAAAGGAGTTTCTCCTCATGTTCAAGCGGAATATATCTAAAAAGAAATGTGGTGTTGTGGATCTCAGGTTGGAATGAGCTATAGAAGCCATGTATAAATTTAAGCTAGATGTCATAAGAATACATGATATGTTTTGGGGTTAACTGGTGGTCCATCCAGCCCTGTATTCTGCCTCTGACAGTACAGTGTGAGATACTGGTTTTGAAAGACCACATAAGCCTTTGAAAGACCACTTTTTGCCATCTGTCATTCTTGTGTCCACACAGGCATTCACAGTGCTTGGATTAAGGATGTTAGGTTTGAAACCAGGTCAAGATGTTCAAAGTGATGAGAGTGCCAGAGACACTCAAGATCTTCTCATGCCATGAGGGCTGCGCTACCAGAAGTGACATGAACCTCAAGAAGGCAGCTCTTTTCCTGAGTTTTTCGCGATCTTAGACCAAAATCCTGTAAAAACATCCTCTGCTGTGATTTTTTTTTTTTTTTCAGCCTTTACCTGCTGTATAATTTCTTTCCAGCATTGGAGCTGACCTAAAACCAAAACTTTAAGGGACTCTATTTTGGATTCAGAAGCAGAGATTGAAAAGCTCTTGGAGTTTGAATGAGCTTGGATTTGAGATTGTGCTCCTGACACATCATTAATTTTAAGATTGTTTTCCCAGCAAGCCTAGGCTTTTCCGTTCCCAGTTGAAGATCATTTACCATTGACTGCACGGTGAATTATAGTAGTGGAACGAGGCAGAGAAATATGTCGATATCAGATATAACAACGAGCAGTCAGTCAGATTTGAACCTGCGCCAATCTATACAACCCTAGCCTTGAAATTGTTAAAACAAAGAAGTTCATTACATTTAATGATCAAGTGTCCTTCAGATTTCTGCGGAGTTTATGTTAACCATTTATATTACTCAGCTCTAATATAAATGGCAAACTCTAGGAAAATCCTCTTAAAATTAAATTGGAAAGTTGGGGGGGGGGGGGGGGGGGTTTTCTATATAGATATTTTACTTCGAGGAAGTATCTGCTTTCCAGACATCTCTTCAAACAAATCGTGTCTGAACAGAAAAAAATAAACAAGGAATAGCTGAAACTACAAGGTTTTGCTGTGTGGAAGAGCAGGGAAAGGAGTTAAAAAAAGAAAACAAAAAAGTTGCATTTCCTGAAAAAGTGCCTTTGCTTATGCCATGTGGCTATCACATTGCTGTCTACAAAGTAGGGCCTTAGCACAGTGCTCTCATATAGCAGGTTCTCCAAACTGAGTGGACCTGATGTGCTTCACTGAAAATATTGGGAAGGATTTGGGGGGGAAGCGCTACAATTTCTGTGAGCCAGTTCAGATGTAGTTTTCTGTTTCTGCAGTGCCCAAAACAAACTTTGGGGCTGAAAGTGCTTTATTTTTATCGATGTAAATAAACAAAAATAATAATTTGTGAGGCATTCAGTGGTATCTTTATCACCAAATATTAACTGAGAGCAAACGGTTTATAAATCCAAACACTAGTGAGTAAAACTAGGTCTCCCCCTCTCACACTTAGTGCAATCCACCAGTGCTTCAGAAAAAATTAAACTGTATTTATCCTTAAAATCATTTCCTCCATAGTGAGCTGTAGCAAGTACACCAGAAGGCATCATTAGCTTCCGATAGTTATCCCAAACCGTTTGGTTCCATATTGTTGTAATTGAGGTGACTGTAGGTGATTGGGCCAGCATCCAAATGTGACATTTTTGGGGACGCTGATAAGATTAATGACGTTTTCCTTCTTGGAAAGTATTTTCAGCACTGAAAACACTACTGTGTAATATTTGAACTGGATAACAACTTGACAGGCATGGCAAGTGCTGACTGTATAGTCTCCCACCTCTGAAGTCCACTTCCTAAGCTCAGACCTGGGTCTCTACTTGCTGTCTGCTTATCTTTCTGAATCCTTGAGGACTGGCGAGTCTTGGTATAACATGCTGTTAGACATGGATGAGAGACACCAGGAATTTGCAGCACAGCTGCTAGAACTTTTAAAACTCTGCTCACTGCTCTACTCATTTCCCAAAAAAATTGTTATGGGGAGGGAAGAGCACAGAGCGAGGCCTGAAGGCATTGAGTCCTAGAGGAGCAGGTTGTGTTTCATTACATTCTCATTCCTTATAGCACTGATGTGTGTATGTTCAGTAATCCAGCCTCTTTTGATGAGGTTGTTGATGCCCTAAAATTTTTTATCCTTTAAAAAAAAAAATTCTCTTTTTTTTTTTCTTTTTTTTTCTCCTTAGACCCCAGGCAGGCGCAGTCATCCCCGCCATGGTCCTATGACCAGTCTTACCCATCCTACTTGAGCCAGATGACTTCACCGTCCATTCACTCCACAACTCCCCTGTCCTCCACTCGAGGCACAGGACTTCCAGCCATTACCGATGTGCCCAGACGCCTCTCAGGTAAAGACCATGTTTTGCCTACAATAATTATGCAGCTAGAAACAGGACTGGCAGAGGCTGCCTCCATGGCCTCAGACAAACTTTAACAAGACGAGCACAGCTCAGTTGGTGTTAACAGGATTACTGCATGGCGGGCGGGGGTCAAAGTCCCTTTTTCTTTGAAGTAGAAGAGCTGTTGTGTTGCTCTGAGCATGTGTAATTTGAATGTCTCTAGGTCCATTTCAGATCAGACCATTTTTAAATTGTGAACCTGATCTATGAACAAATTCTCACTTTTTTTTCCCCTACGAGAGGATGTTTACTTGCATGTTTTAAAGTAATTATGTTATTCTCTATTTTTTGGTGCTTTACTTTTGTGGTGTGTGTGATGTTAGGCATCCTGAGAGATAGCTGCGTTTATTTCTTCAAAAGAGAAGGCTAAGGTTCATTCTCCTGCATTTCAAACCAGTAGCTCAAGAAAGCCGATTCCCTTAGTTAATGTGTACTTAAGATGCCTATCAGAAACTAGCTGAGTCACTTTAGGGTAAAGATTGGACAAATTGTGCTTTGGAATGATGCAGGAGAGAGGAAATACATTTAGGAACATAGACAAGACAGCAGTGAGCAACTGAGACTCTTTTTTTTATCAAACAAATGTACATTTACATACTGTGCAATTCATCTCTAAAGGTCTCAGTGATAAAACCAGCTGTGTGAAGTAATCTGATTGCCCCAAAGTAAGATAGAGCCTGTCATGGCACAGAGTCACCTTGTGTATCTTGCCAAAAATGAGGAACCTTAGGGGAGGGAGGCTCAGTATTAAAACTCCAGCCTTGCAAGTGTGGAAATATTAGCAGCATATGCCAAAAAAGCATGTGTAATGTAAAGAAAGCCTTTATGATTCATTAATGAAAACCAAAGAATCACTCTTATTACATCTATTTTTTGCATGTTTGCAAGATATTATTATAATCTTGGTTGCTGCTGCCATACACCTGTTTGACTCGCAGCCAGGTGAATTTTTTGCTGTCGTGTTTTCCCCTTCCACCAAGCTCAGAGCACTGGAAATGTTGATCACTCCACTGAGCTGCATCACTGACAAGCTGAACTTCAGCCAGCAGGCGTGTAGGATTTGATTAGTGTAGACTCCTTGATTTCTTTCATCTTGGAGGAGGGAAGCTTTGTTTCTCAAACGAACAGCTGCAAAAACCTCTGCGGTCCTAGCGCGCTCTGCCTTCTCCGTGATGCCAAGCATCTCCATGTGGGCCGAGGGTTGGAGGAGGGTGGTGGAGCAGGTTCCTGCGGGCTCTCTGTGCAATGCGCTGACTTGGTTCAAAGAACTCGACCAGCTTGATGCTGAGGAAATGCTTTGATTGGCCCGAAACAGGTTCCCTTTGAGTCAGAGCCTCCTGATGGTCTGTGTTGTCAAATGGGTTATTTTTGCAAATGTGCCCCCAGCAATACCTCCAGGAGAGGCTCGACTGGGACCGCGGCAGCTGTACCACCGCGTACTTGCCCTGCAGCCCTTGCTTGTCTGTGTGTATTCAGACGTGAGTGCCTGGCATGTGGGCACAGGCAGAATGACTATAAGACCTGGCTGTGTACATTATGTGGCCATGGACTGAACTTTTCTGCTGTACTCTACAGTCAGTTGCCTTCACGCTTCTTATCCTTCACCTTATGGGGGCTTGACTGATCCCTCCGCAATGCTCTTAATCTTTGCCCAGCACGGGGATCTTTCTTCCAGTTAGATTCAAGATTGGAAAAGGGGGCTTCGATCTTCCACAAGTGCCAGAGGTTGTCTGCAGTGTTTGCTGATGTTCAGAAACACAGAGCGGCGTTCCTGAGTGGAGGACAAGCTTTCTTGCTCAGGCTGGCAGAGAGGCACATTGCAGCTGCGAACCCTGCAGTTCCTCTTAAGGGTTTCTACCGAGCAGTGCCACAGGGAGGGAGAGCAGGACCTGACCCCTTTTGTGTATATAGTAGAGGGAGAAATGCAAGTTTAAAGCTTCCCCTTACAGCTACCAGTTTGTTCCTCCCACACGGAGAAACGCCCGTCTCCACTCATTTACTTGAGGAGAACAGAGTTTTGATGAGGGGAGAAAAAGACTGCTAAGAAACAGTGAAAATGTTAGAAAAGTTCAGGCACCTCCAGTGCATGAGGGAGAAATTAGAGTTTTACAAGGCCTTGAATAAAAACAATCTTTGCTTTCTGATACAGTGGCAGAAATCTGATTATCAAGGCTGTTAAAAGTATACAAGGTAATTCTAATGAATGCCGTATTTACTGCCTGTTGCTTAGCATCATACAGGAGGAAGAATGGGTAAAACTTCCCCCTTAGGCCTTGGGTGTCACACCTACAGGCACAGGACTTCCTATCTGCCACAATTTCACATCACGCAGCCTTTCCACGGGCCTCCATGACTCTGCCTAAGCAACTGCTTAAGTTGTGCTTACCCAGACTTTGAAAATACATCGTCTAATAAAGCAATGTGCCCTTCAAAAGAGTGATTCCTGGTTGTATTGTCAGTGGCAACCTTCAAGAGCTATTTTTGATGGTACTCCCGTGACCAGAAACACTTCAAACCCATGGCCAAAATGGTGGTGTTCCTCCCTGTCCCAGGATGGATGCGTCTTTTGGTGATAAGGACACCTGTGTTTCAATCCCAGATTAGGCTGAGCATCAACAAGAAGTTTGGGGCTGTAGGACAGGAGGTGACAGGGGACTGCCATAGCAGTTCATGTGGTTTTCTGTCCCATGGGAGAGGGGAAAAGGGCAGCAGGCTGCAACCCGGAGGAGTTATTCAGGCAGGCTGGTGTAATGTGGCTGAACTGGTCCTGTCAGTGTCTAGACTGATTTCTTTGCAGGACTGAAATGTTTGCATGCGTGCTGCAGGCACGTGCAAATGAGTGCCCACAGCTGTCAAACTTCAAGTATTCATCTTTTGTTCTTCAAATGGGGATCAATGCTGTATTTGCAGTGTCATACAACTAATTGATGATGCGTCACACATAGTCGGGCAGTATTCAACTGCAATAGCTGAAAAGCAAAGCAAAGAAAAACATTATCTGGCATCTCTCATGCAAGTTTTGAACCGATGATGTCTCTGGTGCATAAGTCTGATGTTCATATCAAGAATAAGTGAAAAACAAGTTCACGACACCATGCAATTGACTTACCTTATTGCACCAACTCAGTCGTAAAAAGTGTAGGATTCCCCATATTTTATTAAAATATCTGTCTGCTCAGACTCCCCAGAAGACGGTGAAAGTCAGTGGCCTAACAGATTAATATTCTTAATTAAATAATATTGTAGTGGAAACCATGGGAATATATGAACATGGTCATTTTAAGAGAGAGCTTTGCCTGAGGGACGTAGTCTTATTGCATGATTCATAGTGAATGCACTCAGTCTTTGTGTCCTATGCATAACCAAAGTGCATGTGGGATGGGGAGCATGAGTGTCTATTATATAATTAATGTATATGATTCATATAAATACCCATCATAGCTGTTTTACATAAAGCTTTGGGACTGATCCAGCAAGTCCTCAGCACATGCAAGGTTCAGAGCAGGGAGTACAGTGGGGTTGTTCCTGCAGTCACAAGAACGCTGCTCTGCAGCAGGTGAAGGAGGTGTGGGTAGAGATGTCCCCAGGGTAGATATCCATATCTGAGACAGTCACCCTCAGCACCCTTTTGAGTCAGTGAGGACAAACTGGCATTTGCAGGACTTGACCAGTCTGCAGATGAGCTGTACTGGTCCCTGGCAGTGCCCTGGAAGAGCCTGTTTGTCTCCATGGGCTCTAAAGCGAGCCTAGGTGAGTAGTTCAGGTACAGGCACGTCTGATCTGATAGTCTGCCTTTGGTGAGGTGATTTAAGAGATGTTTTAACTGTCCCATAAACATATCTATATCACAGCCTTGTTACACTTCAGTCCTGGTTTAACCCTGCTGTGGTCTGCCTCACCCTGACCTCTACCTGCTCTGTAATTGCAGGGTTTGAGCTTGATTTTAATTTTGTTGAGCATACTGAGAAGGGAGGTGGGGAGACTTTTTTTTCCCCTACACTTTTCCTGGACCTTCTCACCATTCTGCCTGAATGTCAGTCTCTCGCTTTTTGCTTTGCCTTTGAGAGAGACTTGCGGGGTCAAGGTCTTAAGATGCTGGAGGACCTGTCCTGCGAGTGTAGCATGAACACATTCAGTGCTGGCTGTGGAAGGGCCTGTCCTAAGCAGCTGTGTTTGGCAAATGCCCATATGACAAAGGAGAAAGTTGAAACTGAATCTAAATAGCAGGACAAATCACCAAACCTACCTTTTCCAGCCCCAGGCTTGCACTCTTTGCAGATAATTGTCAGTTGGGGATGCTGGCCTCCTGCCACCATGCCCAAACACTCCTGTCCCACGCGATGGAGTCCCCGAAGCATGCAGGGTGAATTTTGCTGTCTTTGTATTTACTGTGTCATTGAATAGGGACGTGCTGAGATAGATGAGGGACACACTGGGCTCAGCCTCCAAACAAAAGAAGTTTGCAGACCCATCCCTGTGAACTGAAATGGCCAGCAAGTCGTATCTTTACCAATAAATTACACAGTGGTAGGGCTTGGACTGTTAAATACTGGTACTGTTAAATCGTCAGCTGGTTGGTTTTGAGTGGGGTTGGCCAGCATGGTCGCAAACAGGTCCCAGCCGTGGTTTGGAAAGGAGCAGAGTCCCAAACCTGTTGCCGTAGGCAGCTTGGAGGCAGCCACCCCATTGCGGAGGCTAAAAGGATTTAATATTACAGCTGTGGCCAGACCATCCTGGCTGGATTTAGAGCCAGACCCTGGCTGTTTGCTAGTTTGAGTGTAGCCAAACTTTCCCATTAATTCGTCTCGCTTTGTAGATATCACCACATCATTTTGGACCATCCTGGACCTTCATCAGATATTCAGTTTAAGAAACATTCCTGTTCTCCCAGTTCACTGGGGGCTGGCAAGTATAAATGCAACCCTGTGAATGCCAGCCATGCCCTAATC